GCAGTTTCTAATAAACCCATAAGTAACTCATTTTCTTCTGCAATCTATGAAACTGAGGTCAGCTTAAATTACCAGCAGTGGCCTGGGGGGGGGGGGGGGGTGTCTCCTATTACAAATATCAGAGATAGCCATGAAGCAAAAGGTAAAAGCAAACTCTTTGGAGAACAGGCTCATAGTGGTGGTTAAGGAGAGTGAATCCAGACAACAAATATTATCCAGTGGACTAAATAGCGGGTGGAGGAATCCAAACAAGCAGCCTGGAAATGTGTTGCTCCTGCACTGACTGGGGTTGGATAGAATTACAGAACTGTAAAGTACACCAGTGGCTTTGAAATCGCTCCAGTCTAGACTTAAGATTTGAGGTATGGTCACTTCTGTGCGTGGTAAGGTTTTGTTTTTAACAGGTTTTTCTCTTTAAGCATACTTAAGATAGTTTTATATGTTTTATAAATGGGGCCCTAAAGCTCGTTTTGTTGGTTGCCAGGCTTCATACCACCATGGGTGTTTATTTTTATATTCTTTCATATGTATTTTTGGTTCAGTGTTGTGGGGATTGAAAAGAGCTGCCGATTTGCTCGTTTAAAAATAAGTAACCATGACTTATGGGAAACTCAGTTAAAAGTTACTCACATGCAGCAAGTTCTAATCTGTAAATAGACTTAATCCACGCTTGGGAAAGTGAGCCTTCATGGTCACAAAAGGGATCTTGGTGGATATAATTATTTCATCCATGATAGTTTACAGTTGTATTATGTCCCTTTTGGGGGGGGGGTTAAATACATTTTACTCAATTTGTACATTTTACATTTGTTTTTTTGTAACAGTGTTTCTTTGTTTTTATGTTATAGACTCAAGAGCTACTCTATGTAAGATGAACACTGAGGACAAACTGGAAGGCATGCTGCTGAAGTGCAGCAGCGGAGGAATAGACGGAGGAGGGAGAGTTGGCCTGGGCAGCGGAGGAGGACTGGTGGTGATGACACTCGGGGAACGATCGCTGGCAAACCACCCTCTGCTGGCCGAGGATGACGACGACGAAGACGACGACGAGGACTTGACTCGAAGCTCGCTGGTCACTCACGACCTGGTCCCTCCAGAGCAGCTGATGATGCAGGAGGAGATGACGAAGAATAGCGGTGGAGGAGAAGAGGAGGGAGGAGCCGAGGTGGGAGAGCATTTCCCCCTAAAACTCACGAATAAGTTTCCCTGCTTGCTTCATATGCCAGTGAGTTCACGCTGGTTTAGAAGTAGATCAGATTTTGATAAGCTCATTTCTGTGAGTGCATCTACAGTCTCCACTTGATCAGAGTGAGTTTGCTTTTATGCATGTTATGTTGACTTAGCCTGACATTTTGGACTGTTCAGTGCAATCAGTTCTTTTAACACACAAAAAGTACTGTTAGGTAGCTGCTGATACTGCAAACTACTTTCACACTAGTTATTTTTATGTGCCGGAATTTTCTTAAAAATTGGTCAAAAATAGGGAGCTCGCATTAGTGGTTTTTTTTTAATGAATGACAGAGATTTTAATTTTATTTTTTCTGTCACTTTGACCCACTTGTTCATATTCAGAAACAATATATTTGTACACTCTGATCTTCTGAATCAGAATAAACTTGCAGCAAATGTGAACTTTAAAATAGTAATTTTTATTCTAAGAATACAGCATAATGAGGATAATCTGAATTCACCCTCAGGGACAGGTTTAAAGCATTTCTTCTCCTTGGGAACTTTAAGAGCTGGAATTGTATGGTTTGTGTTGTTTGTCTGCCTGTAGTTATTACAGACGGGGTTATTTTCAGAAAGCTGAAAAGTGGCTACATACATTTTAAAATGCCAGTCAGAGGATTTGAAAACGCTGTCCCTGGCCACCTGGCAGATGTAATCTCTCAGCCTGTTCTGGGTTGTAAGGGGCTGAGGCTTCCCTCTGGTATTTTATGCCTGAGGCAACTGTATGGTGAGATGCCCTCACATTGGTTGATTATGCTCTGCTTGCCCAGTTGCACCTGTCTGACCTGGATAAAGTGGTAGCTGGCTGGGTGGCCCTTAAAGTAGGTCATGTGCGATATTCAATGTATAAATGACTATGGTCCTACTTTTACAGTTGAGCATCAAGCAGGAGCTGAAGTTGTCTGAGCCAGCGGTCTATATAAAGAAAGACAAAAAGGCAATCAAGGATCTGACGATGTGTCCCAAGAAGAAAAAAAGGAAGCAGCGATCACCAGCAAAGGTGAATTCCATCTATGGAATTTTTGTATTTTTAAAATACCAGGGACGGTTGTGAAAATTCAACACTACATGTGTTCTTTTTTACCCCCTTTGTAGATTCTCAGCATCAATGACGATGGCTCATTGGGCATACCAAACCCCAAGTGTCACGTCTGTACTCACTGTAATGCTGCGTTCAGAACTAACTACCATCTACAGAGGCATGTCTTCATTCACACTGGTATGAATAAGCCTGACGTGTATACAAATATGTAAAACATGTTGCTGTGAAATTAGATATGTTGACAGTAGGGGATCTTTTAGTCATCAAAGAAGGCTAACAACTAAAAACGACTGGTTTTCATATATGTTACTGAAAACCTAGGTGAGAAGCCGTTTCAGTGCAGCCAGTGTGACATGCGCTTTATTCAGAAGTATCTTCTCCAGAGACATGAGAAGATCCACACCGGTGAGTAACAAACAGTTTGGCAAAATTCTCAATTGTTATTATAATTATTGTTATGTTAGCCTGAACTTTTTTCTTTTTAAATACTTGTCTCTAGGTGAGAAGCCTTTTCGCTGTGATGAGTGTGGGATGAGGTTCATCCAGAAGTACCACATGGAGAGGCACAAAAGGACTCACAGTGGAGAGAAGCCCTACCAATGTGACTATTGTCACCAGGTACTATTCTTTTGATTGCTTGTAAATTAGTGTATTTGTCAGCTCCAAAATTGGTAAATATTTTAATTAGACAGACATGAAAGGTCTATTTCAAACCTTTAGTTCAGTCATTTTTGTTCAGACAAAGGGGAATTAAAATGTGTTGGGTTTTTTGGTCTTCTGTTCACTAACTTTGAAAAAGAAATTTGTGAACTAGTTTTCTTTGGGTTATTTCACAACGACACTGTGGTCCCTTTAAATTGAGCTCTGGCTCATTTTCCCCCTTAGTGCGGTTCATTTGTGCAGATGTCAAGATGTGTGCTCGGCTGCTGACAACCACACCGAGACCCTTTGAAAAGGGTGGTCAGTGGGAGGTTCTAGCTAAATACCTTCTTGCATTCTGGGATGTGGCAGAGTACACAATCTGTACAATATTGCCACTTCCATGCAACCCAAACTTCAGGTGGACTTCAGAACAGTATAATAGGGATGACAACTTGACCATCTCGTATAATCATGGCTTTAGGAGTAAATTTTCAGTGTAGTCCAGTTGTCCAGACCTTAAGCACCTTCCTGTGTTTCTGGCCAGTAAGTGGACTGATCATTCTCATGTAGTTTTTAGTATCACGTTTTAGTTAATTTGGAGCTAGCTTGTAATTTTCTTTGAAAAGAAAGCAGAATATGTGAACATATCAAACTCATCAGTTGAACAGATGAACTACAAGTGTGAAGATCTCCTGTGTGTGGATGTATTTGTGTATTTGAATAGTATGTGGTACAGTAGTTGGCTGTAATATAAAACATGTACGAATATGTGTTGAAAAAGGATGAGGATTGTAAAGCGCTTTCAGTGGTCAGTAAGACTATAAATGCACTGTGTAAACGCCACCCTATTTCAAGAAAACACAGGTAGAGACAGGATGATCTTCTGTCTTTTATTTTGACTCTGTGAGAACTTATCACAAAAGAATACAAACACTAAATATTGCAGTGTAAACTGTCATTGATTGCTTAGTCAGGCTAAAATTCTTTGCTGACATGTTAACAATTTGCTTATAAGGATAGGAATGCCTGCTAAACAGTTATTACACAAGATATTTTTTTAAGTAGTTCAGCTTCTGTGAATTTGTTGAGTGCATTAAACCTCTTAATACTGTGTTTAAGACCTTTAGACTAAAAAGAGTCTGCTTAAAACTTAGTCTGGTTAAATGGTGTTTTTGGCATTCAGCTTTTTTTGCCGTCCTAAAAAGATTGTGTGATTAAAAACACATTTGGTGTGAAAACACTATCACTAGTGCTCATATTAAAGATCTTTATGGTTGTAGAGAGTAGACAGGAAGAGTAAAATTGTGAACTCAATATTAGAGCCAGTAATGAAGGTTCAGCTGTTTGTGTGGACTGGTTAAATAGTTAATGAAAGTACAGAAAGTGGAAAGCGCTTTAATAAACTGTGATGTGTTTTTGTTGTTGTTGTTGTTGTTATCGTGTAACATGTATAAAATAAATGCATTGTGTCCTCTTTCTGCAGTACTTTTCCAGAACAGACCGGGTTTTAAAGCACAGAAGAATGTGTCACGAGAACAGAGAGCGAAAGGCGAACAAGACTGCCGGTAAAGTCGGACCTTTACGTGAAGCAGACTCTTTAGGGCCCCCCTTTGTTGCCAAAGAGTGCTCACTGCCCAAGAAAAAGCGCCAAAAGTGTACAGATAAGAGTTCAGGAGCTTCCACTACTGCCCAGACAGAAGGGCACACTTTTACTGTGGTAGAAACAGAAGAGAAAGAGGAGCAAAAGGGAAGTCTTTCTCTATATGCTGTGTCCTCCAAAGTCAAACATGAGTACGTGATTGCTGACTACTCTGTGGACCTTCCTGAAGAAACGGCTAACCAACACCAAGATGGCGACGTCTCTTCGGAAGAAACAACGTCTCCTAAGCTACTCCTGAAGAAAGTCCCCAAGCGGAGTCTTAAGCAGTCGACTGAACAAACTCCTCCTTGCTTGTCCACTTTACCCTCCTTTGAGGAAAATACTAAGGTGGCACAGTACACCTTTGAGATCGTGGACAAGCAAGGCCTCTTAGACGTAGAAGGCAACAGTGAACTCGAGTCAGTTGAAACTCTTCAAGGAGGACAAACAAAACCAGCAGCCAGCAGCACAAACTATGACGACGCGATGCAGTTTCTCAAGAAGAAACGTTACCTTCAAGCTGCAATGGCTAACAACAGCCGGGATTATGGCCTGAACACGAGCAGCATCTCCTCTCAGCCACCTGTTACACAAACTGTGGTGTCAACAGTCATCGACGAAACTGTTCCCGCCACCATCCTGGAGCCCCAACCCATGAACACAGAGATTAAGACTCCTCATGACAAGAATGTTTTGCCTGATGAGGTTCTTCAGACACTGTTGGACCACTACTCCAACAAAGCCAATGGGCAATCAGACATTTCTTTCAGTGTGGCTGACACAGAGGTTACCTCAAGTATATCTATCAATTCCTCCGATGTTTCTGACAGCAGTCCGGTCGAGACCCTCGGAACATCTAGCGCTCAGGCTCAGCCACCTGCTGAGAAAGTGAGTCTCTTGCAAGAATACTCCAAATTTCTCCAGCAAGCACTGGAGAGGACCAGTCAGAATGACAGCTACCTGACCAGCCAGAGCCTCAGCTTGGTCTCTGAAAACCCCACATTAGCTGGACAGCCTCTGTTCTCCACAGAGAAACAGTTTCCTTCCCCCAGCAGGTTCAAATCAGGGATGAGCTCTCCACTAAGGTCCACCTTAGAGAAACCTCACTATGGGTTGCTGGTCGGGGACTCCCAGCACTCGTTTTCCTTTTCAGGCGACGAGACCACCCCTCCCTCTGCGGTGTCCCCAGCTGAGGAGGACTTTCTGGAGCAGGTCTCGCCCTCAAAAAAGACTGACTCTTCACAAGGGATCCTACAGACTTTTCAAATAAGCTCCTTTGAACAGAACTTCAAATCTCATTTCCAGACGTCAAGATCTGCAGCCTCCTCGCAGTTTACGGTTGCCAATGGACAAGTGAGTGTTCGAGGACACAGCACAGAATTCTCAGAGTTCCCTTTAGTCCGAGTCACTGAGACCAGGTCTCAACTGAACTCATCCCCTGACGTTTCGACCAGTGAATCGTTTGGCTGAAGAAATGGAGGCGGGAGCGTTCATTTCTGTTCATCTTTTCTGTGGCACTTTATCTCGTCTTTCCTGTGTTTTTGCCAAATCAAATCCCACTGCAAACGAGGGGTCTTTCTTTTTTTTTTCCTTTGTGTAAAGCAGTTATAATTCTGTGTTTTTACGTTCTAAACTTCTTAAACAGGAATACTGAAAAATGATAATCATACTATAATTAGCATTTCCCCCTTTTGGAAAAAAAGTCAAACTTCCTCCAGAATGTACATTATGGGATTAAGCGACCAAAGTATAATGCAGGAGATTAATATTCTCTAATTCCATTGCCATTATTTTTAATGTTTGTGTCAATCATTTTGCCTTGCACACTTAACGATCAAGTCACACTTGCTGCTTAATTCAATATTTAGATTTATTAAAATGTAGTTTGCATCTATGTACACTCCCCCCCCCCGAGTTTTTCGACTGCACTGGGGGTTGGGTGGTCCAGAGCTGCACAAACCTACTGTTATTGATACTTTTTCCTTATGAATGCGTTAATTTTTTTCTGCATTTGAAGATCAAAATCTGGGATTCAACTGAGCTTAAATTAATTGGGGCCACATAGGTTTGTCCAATAATCATGCCCCCTTCCCCCATGGCGGTCGTAGATTTTTTTTTTATTTTTTTATTTTTTTGCTTTAGCTACTTCCCCTTGCTCTTTGTTTTGTTTTTTCAAAAAATATCACTTAGAGCTTTTTTCTTTATTCCAGCGGTCAAACTGTCTGCTGACACGCACGGTGACACAAAGTTGCGTTACCTGTTAAGGGTATTTCTGCAGGGTGTGTGTAATGAACGGTACAGGATAGATTTGACTGATTGTTTGTGCTACCTGGGATCGAGTTCACTATCCATTTTGCAGATTTGAATAATAGGTATATGAAATTAAATTTAACATCATGTGAATTAATGTATTCCCTTTTGGAATGGTTGGATTTCTGGTCACTGATTTTACAAACATGACTAGTGCAGGATAAACTGACTGCATTATTTGGGAAATGTTTTGGGGTTTTGTTTTGTTTTTTTCCTCCATGCCCCCCTCTGCCCCAAACAAAAAAGTTTTGGCCATCAAATAGCTGCACACATTTAATGGTTGCAGGATCATTCTTAGCTTCTGTTGTTAAAATGCATAAAGATTCAGGGTTGTGCTTTGTGTTCACACAGTTCGGACGTTTTTCACGTGTACATTTATATTAGATTATTACACTATGTATAAGTCACTTTTTGTTAAGAGATTAGTGAGACTAACCACTTAATTAGTTTAAGTAGAAATTCAAACTAATTCACTTTTTCTTTGATCACTTAAAAAGACGTAGCTCTTATAAGGGAAACAAACTTAAAGTTCACGATCCCTTGTATTCAAGAGAATTTGATTAAAATGAGCAGTTTATTATTTTGTGCCTTCTTTTAAAAGAAATATTACAATTTCCTTTAGTCATTCCTGCACAATGCATTTATTTCTGCTTGGTCTACGCTCTAAGGCTACTAGTTCCACTTGCACAATACAGACAAGCACATAAGCTATCAACATGTTCACACCTTCATACGTTAAGAACTGGGAGCTTTATTTAGTTTTGCCTTTTAATATTGTGTTATTTTTAAAATTTTAGCAGCGACATATCACCAAACTTAATAATCAACATATTATCTGTAGTTGGGAGGAGTTAACGTGTCATGGACTCTTCTCCAGTATATGTGTAAGTACAGATTTAAGTTGTAGATGTCTAGATTTGCTGATAATCACTGATTTGCTGGAATTTTCTGGTCAGACTCATCTGTACGGGCCTTGTTGAAACCATGCAGTTTTAAACGGGAGTGGCAATGAGTTAAGTCTTTTCTGTACTTCATTATACTGTTGATTGTCGTTCACGTCTTAGGTGCTATTGTGTTAAACAATGTTTTTATCTTTTTGTTTTTCGTGCACCATCCAGTTTAGGTTTGAAACCAATGTTGAGCTCCCTCTTGTTACAGCTCCTCTGACAATCAGGGACACACAGAACCACGTTAATCATCGAATACTTTATTCTTCCTCAATGATCATTCCTTCTAGAATGTATAGAACAGGGGTGTCGAACTCCAGGCCTCGAGGGCCGGTGTCCTGCAGGTTTTAGATATCACCGTGGGTCAACACACCTTGAATGAAGTGATTAGTTCACTACCAGGCTTCTGGAGAACTTCAAGACATGTTGAGGAGGTCATTTAGCCATTTAAATCAGCTGTTTTGGATCAAGGACACATCTAAAACCTGCAGGATACCGGCCCTCGAGGCCTGGAGTTCGACACCTCTGGTATAGAAGATATCCTGCTGTAAATACATTGTATATTTTTATGCTCTGAGAAGTACTGTTAGGTTTTATTTTGGTCCATAGAAAGACAAGGCGTGTGCAAGAAACACTTTTGTCAGTGAATTTGGCAAGTTAATTTGTTTTTAAGCATTTATGAGATTCAATAATGAAACGGTCCATCTTCCTGAGAAAATGTGGCTTTTGCAGAAATCTCACCACTGTATCAATATTATATTTTCAGTTTAATTGGTGATTGATCAAAGTGACTTTAGATTTTTGTGAATGTTCATTATGATGGGTTTTACTGTATAACTATCATCCGTATGATATATTGAAATAATTCCTTTTCAACATATTTAAAGTAAAAAAAAAAAATGTTCTTAGTGGTGGAAACAACCCTCCATTCAACAGCTATTAGCGTCTTGAATTTGTGTTAAAATATCACTTAAAGGTTATAGTGTGGTTGAAATACCTCACTAGCTGCCCTTTTTTTTTTTTTTTTTTTTTTTTAAGCGATCTTTAAAAGCACAGTGCAGATAGAAATGATGGTTTTGTAAATTGTACCCCATTTAGTTCTTTGAATTTTGAATTCAGTTAAAGTGGAAACCTATTGGAGATTAATGAAGTATGTGAGCAGTACGATGAATATTTCCTTTTAATTAACTATTGTCAGTAACCTGACCATAAGTGTCCTTGTATAAGCTAGAGAAATCTCATTTGTGTGCGTGTGTGTGTGTGTGTGTGTGTGTGTGTAAAAAGATCTGAATTTTTTGATAAAAAGCTATTTTTGAAACATGTCATTTAAAGCACTGATATGTACAGTATATCATATGCAGTCTTTCTCGCTACCCTCATTTATCTCTGTATAAGTCGTTTGTGTCAAGGTTTTTCAAGTACAGATGGGAATCTGAACTTTTTCTTGATTTTAAAGAATCTGACAAGGAAGCCTACTGCTTCAGTAAGGTTGGTCTTACGTTAGGTTTATTCTGCATGGTCTCTGACTTGTTGGGTTAAGTGAACTTGTTTTATGGATAATGTGCAGCTTTAATTGTAGCTGATTATTTTCAGTCAAGTAACCCATATGATTAGACTTTTGCAATATACAATGATTTGTAAGCAATCTGATTAAATTGTTTTTGATTGTTGTGTGTCATGTCCTTATAAATAAATAATTCACAGCATGTGATCTTGAATTGTTGTTGATGTACAGAAGGCGTGCAGCTGCTGGTGAAACTGAGTGTGGGTGGGTAAATGTGTTTCCTGCGGGAAAGCAGCCAGAAAAGACATAAAGAGATGCTGGGATATTTGTTATGGTGTGTTAGGGGAATTCGAGGAGAGTAGAAGTGCTGCAGAAGACTGTTTTCATAGGTACACACTCGTACAGTAACAAATTGAAAATCTTTCACCATATCGTGGTACACGGTGACATCTTTTTCAGCAGGTCCAAAACCTGAAGATATATTCAGTTTACAGTGATATAAAAGTGCAAAGCATAGAATTCTCACATTGGAGAGCGTTGGAAAAAGAACTGTTGATGTTTATTGTGGAAAAATATGTGGAAAAACGTATATCAGAATAGTTCGGTCTTAATTTTCTGACAAACTGTTTGTCCAAACACTGTAAGCCTTTATCACAGCCCAGTAAACCATGAAGGTCAACCAGCGTGCACAACAACAGGACCTCCCCCCAAGTGAAATGCAGCTATCAAATACACCTGCGCTTTCCTGCTACCATACAGTACTGTGGGAAAACCTTCAGCTACCCCTCATTTCGTAATATTTTGCTTCCATTTAGCCTGTCTTTCTTGTAATTTTTAAAGTGGTGTTTAGCGGGTGTTCTCCAGACTTTCTGAAAGTTCTCTGGGCATGGCTACTTTTATACTCTATTTAAGCATAAAAAGGCACCTAACTCAAAGGATGAACCAGTGTTGTGTCTACATATAACAGAAAACTGAGCAAAGAAGTGTGTTTAAATTATATCTTTAGGCACTTTAATATTAGCAGTCTGTCCCAAAAACATTTCTTTAGCCGAATCTACTAAACATCCCAAAGCTAATACAGACTGGCATAAAAACACCAAGAATGATATTCCTTAAAATATGGGATCCAGAAAAGATCTGACACAGGACCTGAGAGATTCATCTGGTCCTTCAGTTGAATTTCAGTTGTTCACTGAGGCCTCATTAGAAATTGTCTCGGTGGAAGGGTGGCTTGTCAGGAAGCCATATTTTAAGAAAGAGGAAAGTGGAGGGAAAGGGTGATGTAGTGATGAACCCAGATATTAAATTTTTGGTTCAACTCATCGTCAGTATGTGTAGAGAGGGCCAGGAGAAAAGTAAAAAAAGTGTATATAGCCATCTGTGAGATGCAATGGAGGCTCTGCCCTGGCAGGATTTCAGCCAGTAGTGTTGGGGACTTTGATCTTTAATGGGAAACAGCTGATTGGTAATGACTTTATTTCTCACCATGGCAATGATCCAAAACACAGTCTTCATGCAGTAAAAGAATACTTGGATGACAAATCGGACTGGCCTCCCCAGATCACAGAGAGCCAGCCAACATCCAAAGAAGAGCTTTTAATGTCCTTTAAGAATCCCGGAGAACTATTCCTGAAGGTTATTAAAAGA